CTCGGCAGTACTTTCCTCACGATCTGACAGCGTGAGGAAAGTGCAGCCGAGAACCGGCACTTGCATTTCCCTGTGATCAGCGTGTCATTGGACACCGCTGATCACGTGGTAAAAGGCCGGTATGATCGGCCTTTTACCACATCTCGTGATCAGCTGTGTCCGTAGGACACAGCGATCACGGAGATCGTCGGGTGCGCGCCCCCTGGGGCGCGCAGGAGAGCGCGTTCTGGGGGGACGTCATATGACGTCCACCCAGAACTGGCCGGCCGCAGTGCAGCCGTCATTCGGCTATCTGCGGTCGGCAGGTAGTTAAAATATGCACGTCAATAACAATGTAAATAAAAAGTAGCTATCTACTATGAAAAAAAGCCACAGGATATACATAAAAATAATACATTTAGTAGTAAATACATAAAATAGTAGTATACATAAAAATATATATATATATATATATATATATAAATAAATAAATAAAAATAATATAATATTATATATATACACATATACCATATATATATATATATATATATATATATATATATACAGTGGGGCAAAAAAGTATTTAGTCAGCCACCAATTGTGCAAGTTCTCCCACTTAAAAAGATGAGAAAGGCCTGTAATTGGCATCATAGGTAGACCTCAACTATGAGAGACAAAATGAGAAAAAAAATCCAGACAATCACATTGGCTGATTTGGAAAGAATTTATTTGCAAATTATGGTGGAAAATAAATATTTGGTCAATATCAAAAGTTCATCTCAATACTTTGTTATATATCCTTTGTTGGCAATGACAGAGGTCAAACGTTTCCTGTAAGTCTTCACAAGGTTGGCACACACTGTTGCTGGTATGTTGGCCCATTCCTCCATGCAGATCTCCTCTAGAGCAGTGATGTTTTGGGGGTGTCACTAGGCAACACGGACTTTCAACTCCCTCCAAAGGTTTTCTATGGGGTTGAGATCTGGAGACTGGCTAGGCCACTCCAGGGTCTTGAAATGCTTCTTACGAAGCCACTCCTTTGTTGGTATGTTTGGGATCATTGTCATGTTGGAAGACCCAGCCACGTTTCATCTTCAATGCCCTTGCTGATGGAAGGAGGTTTGCACTCAAAATCTCACGATATATGGCCCCATTCATTCTTTCCTGTACATGGAGAAACGGAGAAACAGCCCCAAAGCACGATGTTACCACCCCCATGCTTCACAGTAGGTATGGTGTTCTTTGGATGCAACTCAGCATTCTCTCTCCTCCAAACACGATGAGTTGTGTTTCTACCAAACAGTTCTATTTTGGTTTTATCTGACCATATGACATTCTCCCAATCCTCTTCTGGATCATCCAAATGCTCTCTAGCAAACTTCAGACGGGCCCGGACATGTAAAGCAAGGGGACACGTCTGGCACTGCAGGATCTGAGTCCCCTGCGGCGTAGTGTGTTACTGATGGTAGCCTTTGTTACGTTGGTCCCAGCTCTCTTGAGATCATTCACAAGGTCCCCCCATGTGGTCCTGGGATTTTTGCTCACCGTTCTCGTGATCATTTTGACCCTACGGGGTGAGATCTTGCGTGGAGCCCCAGATTGAGGGAGATTATCAGTGGTCTTGTATGGCTTCCATTTTCTAATTATTGATCCCACAGTTGATTTTTTCATACCAAGCTGCTTGCCTATTGCAGATTCAGTCTTCCCAGCCTGGTGCAGGTCTACAATTTTGTTTCTGGTGTCCTTCGACAGCTCTTTGGTCTTCACCATAGTGGAGTTTTGGAGTGTGACTGTTTGAGGTTGTGGACAGGTGTTTTTTATACTGATAACAAGTTCAAACAGGTGCCAATGATACAGGTAATGAGTGCAGGACAGAGGAGCCTCTTAAAGAAGAAGGTACAGGTCTGTGAGAGCCAGAAATTTTGCTTGTTTGTAGGTGACCAAATACTTATTTTCCACCATAATTTGCAAATAAATTCTTTCCAAATCAGCCAATGTGATTGTCTGGATTTTTTTTTTTTTCTCATTTTGTCTCTCATAGTTGAGGTCTACCTATGATGCCAATTACAGGCCTCTCTCCTCTCTTTAAGTGGGAGAACTTGCACAATTGGTGGCTGACTAAATACTATTTTGCCCCACTGTATATAATTTGTTTACATATATGTACAGTATATATATATATATATATATATATATGTGTATATATATATATATATAAAAAACTATATCTGTTATTACTTTGTTTACTGTGTATATATATATATAAAATTTGTTTTTACATATATATATATATATATATATATATATATATATATACGGTATATGTGTATATATATAGTATGTGGGGTTAGCTCAGGTGGGGGATCTCCTTCCCAGGGAAAATTTAGACCGCACAGCAGGCTTTCGTAAAAATCTGACTGGTTGTCAGTTTTATTTAAAAGGTTTGCAAAAAAAATATCAACATAAACAAAACATCAAAATAAACCCTTGCCATCCAGGCACTAACTAAACAGAAGACGTTTCCTCTCTCAGAGGTGAAGGGCTTCTCCCTGTCACTAAAACAAAAGCAAACCTTTTCTTGTAGGTATAGTACACACACAGCTCTCTCAGAATACCTCTCTGAGTCCCAGGCCACGAGCAACTCCTTGCTCCAGCCCTGCCCTTTTTGTATCACCTGTTGGTGGTCATTAGTGGAGCCCAAACTCTGGTCCGGAACCACCTCTGCCATTGTGGCCCCGAAAACCCGGAGTGGACTCCACCTTACACCTCACCGTATGACCTCATGCGAGGTGACACATATCGTCCATCCATCACTTTGCCGTTCATACTGTCACAAGTATTATATTATTTTTATTTATTTATAATATATATATATATATATATATATATATAAATAAATAAAAATAATATAATATTATATATATACACATATACCATATATATATATATATATATATATATATATATATATATATATATATATATATATATATATATGTGTGTAAAAACAAATATATATATATATATATATATATATATATAATACAGTAAACAAAGTAATAAAATATATAGTATTTTATATATATATATATATATATATATATATATATAGTCTTAAAAAAGCACAGAAACTGGAAAATAATAAAAAATTACAAAATAAAAACTGAAACTATTGGTTATTCCAATTACATTTTAACTGGCATACACTGCTTGACAGTGGATTTGGGTAAGGCCAAAAAAATTATGTTTCATTATGCACCTAGCCATGACAGTGCAAAGATGTCCATGTACTGAAAATCATGTATAACTTCCTGTACTTACTGTATGCCTACAATTTTCCACCAGCGTAGTAATAACTTTGGAATATTATTAGACTGCAGTTACCTCACATAATTTCCGTACCGTTACCTTTGCCATTTTTAAAACTGCAAAGACACTTATCTTTGATCTTCCGCAAATTATCCATGATTAATCTCTTTCATTCATTCCACCCCCCAAAAAAAAAACTTACTTAAGAACTTTAAATGCAAATGCAATTTTCCTAAAAACGTAATTCATAGCACCATTAGTTTTCTGATATTTTTAACACACGTTTTCAAGGTTATTACCGAGTGCTATAACTTAGGCAATTAAAAAAGTCACCTTTTTGCATAGTCCCATAGTGTGTCCTTCTATATATTGAATGGTTAATAAAAATTTAATTCATAAAAACAGGTGCCCATTTTTCTTGACTGAAATTAAGCATTAAATTTTATAAGGAAGATTTAAAGGGATTTTCTCTTTAATTTAAATCTGCGGTGATAATAATAAAATTAAACTATTGCAGCCTACATTTACCTTTTCATCAATTTAATAAAAAAAAAAAAAAAAATCAAATTACGTTTATACTTTAATATCTTGTTAATTACCTTTGTTATTGAGAGCCATTAAAATCTAAAAGGCCAGACCCCATTTAGCAGGGTAAGTGTGCGTTGGTTAACTTGATAATGACTAATTTGATGACTAAATTTGTCTACATATATATATATATATATATATATACACACCATATTTTTTGCTCCATAAAATGCACCTAGACTTTAGAGGAGGAAAACAAGTAAAAATTTTCTGAACCAATGGACTGCAGACATAGTACAGGGGATGACCAGAGACTGCGGACATACTACAGGAGATGACCAGAGACTGCGGACAAAGTACAGGAGATGACCAGAGACTGCGGACACAGTACAGGAGATGACCAGAGACTGCGGACATAGCACAGGAGATGACCAGAGACTGCGGACACAGTACAGGAGATGACCAGAGACTGCGGACATAGCACAGGAGATGACCAGAGACTGCGGACACAGTACAGGAGATGACCAGAGACTGCGGACACAGTACAGGAGATGACCAGAGACTGCGGACATAGTACAGGAGATGACCAGAGACTGCAGACACAGTACAGGAGATGACCAGAGACTGCGGACATACTACAGGCGATGACCAGAGACTGCAGACATAGTACAGGAGATGACCAGAGACTGCGGAAATACTACAGATGACCGGAGACTGTGGACATAGTACAGGAGATGACCAGAGACTGCGGACACAGTACAGGAGATGACCAGAGACTGCAGTCATAGTACAGGAGATGACCAGAGACTGCGGACATAGTACAGGAGATGACCAGAGACTGCGGACATAGTACAGGAGATGACCAGAGACTGCAGACAGTACAGGAGATGACCAGAGACTGCGGACACAGTACAGGAGATGACCAGAGACTGTGGACACAGTACAGGAGATGACCAGAGACTGCGGACACAGTACAGGAGATGACCAGAGACTGCGGACACAGTACAGGAGATGACCAGAGACTGCGGACACAGTACAGGAGATGATCAGAGACTGCAGACATAGTACAGGAGATGACCAGAGACTGCGGACATAGTACAGGAGATGACCAGAGACTGTGGACATAGTACAGGAGATGACCAGAGACTGTGGACATAGTACAGGAGATGACCAGAGACTGCGGACACAGTACAGGAGATGACCAGAGACTGCAGACACAGTACAGGAGATGACCAGAGACTGCGGACATAGTACAGGAGATGACCAGAGACTGCGGACATAGTACAGGAGATGACCAGAGACTGTGGACATAGTACAGGAGATGACCATAGACTGTGGACATAGTACAGGAGATGACCAGAGACTGCGGACACGGTACAGGAGATGACCAGAGACTGCGGACACAGTACAGGAGATGACCAGAGACTGCGGACACAGTACAGGAGATGACCAGAGACTGCGGACACAGTACAGGAGATGACCAGAGAATGCAGACCTTTGGGGAGCGGAGAGAGAGAAGGGGGGAGCGGGTACCCAAATTTTGACAGGTACCCGCTCCCACTTCCACGGAGTTGTCCTCCCTCCCCATCTTTTGGGACACGTGACAGGTCCCAGAAGACTGCCGGACCATTCGCAAAGCGCAGCCCTTCTTGTGCTTGCGCAGTGTGCACCTGGCTGTGAAGCTGCAAGCTGTCCACACAAAAGATGCCGGCGCCAGGGAGAAAAGACAGTGAAGACACCGCCGGACCAAGGAACAGGTAGGACCCAGGAGCAGGTTCTGCTGCACAGAAGAGCCGAGCGACTGGCCCGGTATTCTAAGATGGTGGCGATAGGACTACCAGGCCAGCCACTCCATATGCGCTCCATAAGAAGCACAGACATTTTCCCCCATTTTGTTGAGGGAAAAAAGTGCGTCTTATGGAGTGAATTAGTAGTATTAGTATGTGGATTTGGGGTTTTCATGAGCTGTAAGCCATAATCATCACAATAAAGAAAGTTAATAATAGCGCCTATGGTCAAAAATGAAAATTATATAAATCACTTATAGTGTACCAGCTGCAAAAAAACCACCATAAATAAAGTGTAACAATTAATGCAATAAATAATTTTGCGCTAGTATATATGAATATATAAAAGTTCAAATCATAAGTCCAGAATAAAAAATACCAATACCACAAAAAAATGTGCAAAAAGCTTTTGTGCAAAGAAAGTGTCTAAATATCAAAAAACACCACCAAAAAAACCTTGATAATATGATGGTAGGTCATCCATAGATATATTTTCAGAAACGAAATTCTGCAGCCCACCGATTCTCATAGAGCAAATAGCAAAGTGAAAGAAGCTTTTCAAATTATCGGAAATCCACTTCTCCAAAAGACAGAAACCACCTTCAATTGTATCCAAGGGGGAAGATGCCAGGCACTCGAGAAAAACACAGAGAGACTTCATGGTGCAGTATTATAAAAGCCAATTCCTTTATTAGGTACTCATTGCACTTACTCAAGAGGTGTCCCAGCCGACACCAGCATCAACAGCATAGTAGCAATCACATAAAAACGAGCCTAGCTACTCAGCACATGCGCAGTAGCTGGCAGCCAAACGTAATGACGTCACATCAATCAAGCTCCGCCCTACGCATTTCGTCATCGACGTCCTTCCGCTCCGTGAGGACGTCGGTGACGAAATGCGTAGGGCGGAGATTGATTGATGCACCATGAAGTCTCTCTGTTTTTCTCGAGTGCCTGGCATCTTCCCCCTTGGATACAATTGAAGGTGGATTCTGTCTTTTGGAGAAGTGGATTTCCGATAATTTGAAAAGCTTCTTTCACTTTGCTATTTGCTCTATGAGGATCGGTGGGCTGCAGAATTTCGTTTCTGAAAATATATCTATGGATGACCTACCATCATATTATCAAGGTTTTTTTTTTTTGGTGGTGTTTTTTGATATTTAGACACTTTCTTTGCACAAAAGCTTTTTGCACATTTTTTTGTGGTATTGGTATTTTTATTCTGGACTTATGATTTGAACATTTATATATTCATATATACTAGCGCAAAATTATTTATTGCAATAATCATCACAATGATGACAAATCACGGCTTGAACTATCTTGCTTTGCATGTGATGAGTCTATGTCATATATTAGTTTCACCTTTTAAGATGTATTACTGAAATAAATGAACTTTTGCACGATATTCTAATGTTTCGAGTTTCACCTGTAAAAGCCGCCTCATCAGTGTTCATGAGTGCTGCCAATCAATGCGCATCAGTGCTGCCAATCAGTACCCATCAGTGCTGCCTATCAGTACCCATCAGTGCTGCCTATCAGTGCAGCATCATCAACGCACATCAGCGAAGGAGAAAAATTACCTGTTTGCAAAATGTTATAATAGAAACAAAGAAATTTTTTTTTTCAAATTTTTGGTCTTTCTTTGTTTATATCGCAAAAAAATAAAAACACCAGCGGCAATTAAATACCACCAAAGGAAAGCTCTATTTGTGTGAAGAAATAATACAAATTTCATATGGATACAGTGTTGCATGACCGCTCAATTGTCATCCAAATTGCGACAGCACTAAAAGCTGAAAATTAGCCTGGGAAGGAAGGAGGTAAAAGTACCAGGTAGGCAAGTGGTTTTAATATGAAAAAATGTGAATGAATTCCCGCTAGTGTATGACCAGCATTAAGCAGCTGTCAATGTGCCATATTACCATTGTGACATATCAGGATGTTTGCCCTTTCTTTTTTTAAAGAGTATCATTAAATATACTATGAAATTGAAACAGGAAATAAATCACCTCATTAAACTGGTTCTGTGTTCCCAAAAACTTTTTTAGGATTTTTGTGATTACTCAAATTCTTGTATTTATTATCTAAAGAATACTAAAAAAAGAGAAAAAAAAAGTTTGCTTGATCTGTTGTAATCCAATATTCCCATACTTTGTGACATCTGCCCATTTAGTGAGTGTTATATTCTGCAGTAGGGTATGTGTCCTGATCAAATCAGCAATTTAATTAACTCAGCAGCGAGAGGGTCAGGAAAGTTCAGCTTCCATTTCTTTAATAGCGTTACATTAGCATCGGTTTAATTTAAGACAACTTTTCAGGAAAACGTCATGGAGAGACTCCAAGCGGTGGACTGCTGTGGCTATCTAGCAAACTGTGCTGAAAACCTGTTCCCTTCCCTAGCCTTAGCACAGTGCTGTATGAATTGACATACCTCCTTTAGACCTTGGTCTGTCTAGCAGTATGGTCACCTGCTGAATGTGCACTCTCCACTGACAGCTTAACTCTTCAATAAGACACAGAAGTTTGTAGTTTTACTTTTTGCAATTCAGTACATGGGATGTTCACTGGTCAAATGAAGTGTGAAGAGACAATGCTCTGAAGGCTGGTAGCTTACTGAGGGAATTATGAAGAGAAATGAAGGGGTCTGTCTAAATCAGGGGTCTCCAAACTTTCTAAACAAAGGGCCAGTTACTATGCTTCAGACTTTAGGGGGGCTGGACCATGGCTATTGGGAGTTGCAAATGTCCCAGCATCAGTGGCAGTAAATAATGTCCTATCTTTTAGTATTGGGGGGATTATTAGTTCCCCATTGTTAGTGTCAGTGGAAATAATAGTACTCCATCATTGGTGTAATTGGGAGAAATAGTGCTCCACCATAAGTGTTAGTGGGGAGAAATAGTGCCTCATCTTTGGTATCAGTGGGAGGAATAATGCCCCATCATTGTTGTCAGGTGAAAGAATAGTGCCTAATTGTTGGTGTCAGTGGGAGGAATAGTGTGCCATTGTCAATGTCAGTGCAGGAATTATGGGGCTATTGTTGGTGTCAGTGAGAGGAATAGTACCCCAAGGGCTGGATAAAGGCAATCAAAGGGCCACATTCAGCCCCAGAGCCGCAGTCTGGAGACCGCTGGTCTCAATTATTAAACTAACAGACACGGGGGACCTGGGTTATACCATTAATAAATATGAAAATAAAAAGTTGTAGTAACACCGAAACTGCACTAGATGTCAGCATCACAACATTAAAGTGATTGTAAAGGTTCATGGGGTTTTTTTTTTAAAATAACAAACATGTCTATACTTACCTGCTGTGTACAGTGGTTTTGCACAGAACAGCCCGGATCCTCCTCTTCTCGGGTGCCCCGCAGGCTCTTCTGGCTCCTCCTGTCTGTCGGTTGCCCCCATAGCAAGCAGCTTGCTATGGGGGCACCTGCTTCTCTGTGTGCCCATTCACACACGAAGCCGAAACTTGGCCCACCACCTTTTTCTCTTCTCATTGGCTGACTGGCTGTGATTGACAGCAGTAGGAGCCAATGGCTCCCGCTTGCTGTCTCAGCCAATGAGGAGGTAGAGACCCGGGACCGCCGAGGCTGTCGTGCACATTGATGGATCGGATGAGGCTCAGGTAAGTATTGAGGGGGCTGGGGGGGATGCTGCACACAGAAAGTGTTTTACCTTCAGCATAGAATGCATAAAGGTAAAAAACCTTGAGCCTTTACAACCACTTTGATACAGTGCTTGGCAATTTATAAGCTAAATGGGACCTTAAATGTGGCCTCTGACATCACCAAAGGGCCCCACATAATGTATATATATGTAATATATATGTCAATATATGTAATGCTTGAGAGGACTGGAAGAAACTGCAGACCTAACAGAGGCAATGCGGGTCAGAGAGTGCAGACATGCTTCATTTTTGGCTGGGTATATGCTATAGAAGACAATATAAAAATGGGAACATGTTCAATGCTATTTTTTTTTATCTTAATCAATGCTCTCACTACAGGCTGCTGAAGTTCAAGAGCCACACACCATATACCAAAGGGCCACACATCATATACCAAAGGGCTGCATGAAGCTCTCAGGCTGCAGGTTGAACATGAACACCTATAACGCTGCCACCTCCTCTCCACTCTCCCTCTCTGTTGGGGTCCCTCAAGGTTCTGTCCTTCGGGCCCCTTCTCTCTTCTCCATCTACACCTCCTCCCTTGGTCAATTGATACACTCTCACGGCTTCAACTACCATCTCTATGCAGACGACACGCAAATCTATCTCTCTACCTCACCCTTTCAGTCTCCGCTCGTATCACAAGCCTACTGAGCGACATATCGGACTGGATGTCACTCCACTTCCTCAAACTAAATCTGTCCAAAACTGAGCTCCTAGTTTTCCCCCCAGCCCGCGCCCCCCCCCCCCCCCCCGATTTCTCCATCAAGACCAACAACACCACCATCAGTCCCACCCCTCAAGCCAGAGTACTAGGTGTAATTCTAGACTCAAATCTGTCTTTCCAGCCCCAAGTCCATTCGCTGACAAACTCATGCAGACTTCACCTCCGCAACATCTCCAAAATACATCCGTTCCTAACCCCGGAAACCACTAAGCAACTCATTCACTCCCTCATTATATCACGCCTTGACTACTGTTAACTCCCTCCTCACCGGCTTACCCCACCGCAGGCTCTCCCCGCTTCAGTCTATTTTGAATGCTGCAGCCAGACTCATCCACCTTACTAACAGCTCCATATCCGCCACCCCCCCCCTGCCAATCCCTCCACTGGCTTCCGATTGCCCAACGGATAAAGTTCAGAATGCTAATATTGACTTATAAAGCTATTCATAATACTGCCCCAAACTACATCACCGATCTGGTATCCAAATACTCTCCGCTCCTCACAAGACCTCCTACTTTCTAGTTCCCTGGTCTCCTCCTCCCCATGCCCATCTCCAGGAGTTCTCTAGGGCTTCCCTCATTCTTTGGAACTC